TGGTAGAGCGCTAGCCTTGAGCTGAAGAGCTGAGGGACAGCACCCAGGCCCAGAGTTCAGGCCCCACGACCGGACCCAAAAAAAAAAAAAAAAAACTTTGACATAGAAAACCAAAAACATACAATGTAATGCAGGCAGAAATGAAACTCACACCTTTGAGGACAAGACCTTCACATACACACAGAATTAGTACCAGAATGGGAGACTTAGGACATTTCTGAAGTCCTGAAAAGCCTAAACAAATGTTTGTCATCAGTTTTCTAGGACTCCTTACAAGAAATGAAATGCCAAGCTCAAGGAAAAAAGGTTGAAGCAACACACACAGAATGCCCTAAAGAACACAGAGAATACAGCTAAAGAGCTAGATATATGCAAAGAATTGATAGTAACTGCTGATTTCCAACCTGTGGTGGCTGTGTGGTGAAGCGATACTCTCCTTGTTTGTCTCGATTGAACACAATTTTCCAAAGGACCGTGTCAAGGAAGAAGCTCTGAGAGACATTCCAGTGAGTTAAGAATTAAAAATGACTTAAGTCATTTGTTTTTAACATGCACATTTAAAAACATTCACACTATGCTGCATCATTAGTAAAAACTACAATACTCAAGCAAAGGGATAAAGAATAACAACATGACTTTTACAACAAAGATAAACCATAAAATTTATGATATAATGAGACTTCTATATTTCCCACAAAATAGTTTTCATATGAACATTCAGTGTTTCCAATATTAAATTAAGCTTATTTGAAACCCTTTTCTTGGCAGTATATTATTTTCACATAATACCTGATATGATGTCTGTATCTGTACCTACACATATGTATGATTTCATCAGCATCCAACACCAATATTTAGATAGTAAGCATAAGACCATATGAGTGGGAAGATGGGAGTTATACTATAGAAACAGTGCCTTAAATGTGCTTTCTATTGAACAACTTGAAAAGGTCTCTATAATACTATGTTGCATTACACATTATATCTCAAATTTCAATATCAAGTTATCTTTGAGCCTAGTCTTTTTGTTGTTGTTGTTATCAGTCATGGGGCTTGAACTCTGGGCCTGGGCACTGTCCCTGAGCTCTTTCTGCTCAAGGCTAGCACTCTACCACTTGAGCCACAGTGCCACTTCTGAAGCCTAGTCTTTAAGTCTAGATTTTTTCTAACAAATTACCTTAATTTTAATTAAAAAAAAAAACCTATTCTATGAGGTCCTAAAAATTTAGAACTGTCTCTTCTGCTTCTTACATTGCTATGGTCGTTTTGGGAGCAGACCAAAGTATATTAATAATAGCAAATGAGAACTTGCTAGCTTCTTTTAGAGAAGCTCACCTGAAGCAATCTTAAAAGAATAATAAATATGCAATATCCAATGGATCAGAGTACTTAAGACTTCAGCTATCACTCAAAAGTAAATACCAAGGAAAATGTCCCAGCAATAAATGCTGAAATTAGGTAAGCCCAAGATTGTAATTATTTGATGCTTTAAATAAACTCTTGTTATTAATAATCATTACATTTGTTGGGAGTACCAAACCCCACCCTCAAACTTTTTTCCTTACCTGAAGAGTCTTACATCACAGAACACATGGTACATGGCCACTTATGAACTCAACGTTCAGGAGCTACCTGGATACTCATGGGCTTTCCTTTCAATTAATTGCCCACTTCTGTTAACTGGCTATTCATATTTTCTCCTATCTGCATAAATGCAACTGTCAGTTGATGGAAAAGGTCAGACAAAGCTTAATGATCTAATTTCCATGAAACCAAGACTGTGGCTTTCTATGTTACCAGTCTCCTCTACTTTCCATTAAATTATCCAAGAATCCCAAAGCAACAAGGTAGCCATTTGACTAGCTGAAGTGCTTACCTCCACCATGATAGATACAAAGGCATTGACAAGAACAATGATGAGCATAGTTATCCGCCACTCATATGGTACACACATTATCTGTAAAACAAAACATTTTAATTGAAGTTGTTGTATGTAGCTGATGTTATAGCAATATATTATAAAGTCAAAATTCTTATTATGTGCCGCATCTACATACACATTATCCACTTAATGCTAAACAATGCCAAAATATGTATCATTTTAAATGATAAAACTCTCTCTCTCTCTTTCTCTCTCTCTGTTTTTGTTGGTCATGGGGTCTGAATTCTGGGCCTGGGCACTGTCCCTCAGCTCTTCAGCTCAAGGCTAGCATCCTACCATTTGAGCCACGGTGCCACTTCCGGCTTTTTCTGCTTATATGGTGCTGAAGAATGGCCCAGGGCCTCATTCATGTGAGGTAAGCACTCTACCACTGAGCCAACTTCCCAGCCCCAATAAAATTCTTAAGTAGCTGAACTTAGCATTAAATTCTATACATCCAAACTCAAAAACCAATCTTTTTTAGATCAAAACTGTCAACTAAGTCCTTCCTTTTAAAAAAGTCTGTCTTTCAACAAGACAGATTTTCATCTAATACTGGTCAAATTTCACATTATAATGAAGATAAATTCTTTAAAGAACTCTACACATCAATTTTAAGAAATAACATAAATTTTCACTAGATTTTAAGTTTGAAAATTTCTCCTTTAACATTTTTACCCCTTTTTCTTTCTTTCTTTTTTAATAATGTCTCATATGTGGCGAAGAATTCCTGGGCTCAAGCGATCCCCTTCTGCTTCAGCCACAGAGAAGCTGGGACTATAGCACATGTCACAACATCTGGCTAAAATGTGATTCTTTTTTAAGGTCTAAAAAAATAAAAGAAAAAATCCCACTGATTTATCCATCCTTTAGCCAGCAAATATTTAGTACTGAGGTACTAAGATACAGTGCTGAATACCAATGACGTGCCAATTTAGAAAAAATTATTGTGAACCAGATGCAAGGTGCTATTTGGGAGGCTGAGAGCAGGAGGATTAAGGTTCAATGCCAACCAGAGTGAAAAACTTGAAAGGTTCTTTCTCCACAGATTTTCAGGGTATAGTAACTATCATCTTAGCTACACTGAAAAGCTGAGGTTGAGAGGATCCCAGCTGCAGGCAAGTCCAAGCAGAAAAAGTCCGTAAGACACTACTTTAAAGGAAGAAGCTGGGCATGGTGGCATAGTCTTTTACTCCTATTTGCTGGATATGGAGCAGGAAATGTCCCTAGCATTTCTCCCTAGTTTATCCTATTATATTAAAATAAATCCTTGCTAAAACTTCAGAACAAAAATAACCAATGTGTGGATCAGTGACAGAACATCTGTGTATAAGGTCCTGATTTCAAACTCCAGTACCACCAAAAAGGAAAAACAAAAATTTAATTTTTAAAATTTCCTTACAGTAAGAAGGGTCTGAGATGAGGATAGTGCCACAATGATGCAGTCAAGAGATGATAAATCCTTCCTCAGCACCACATAAGCAAAAAGAAAAAAGCCAGAAGTGGCGCTGTGGCTCAAGTGGTAGAGCGCTAGCCTTGAGCTGAAGAGCTGAGGGTCAGCACCCAGGCCCAGAGTTCAAGCCCCACGACTGGACCCCCCCCCCCAAAAAGAGAGAGAGAGATGATAAATCCCAAACTAAAGTATAGCAAGTGGAACTGTAGTGAAGACAGAAAAGCAGGAGGTTGGACTTGGAGGGGTGGGGTGAAGCAGATGATGACGTATGTGCCTGTCTGTCTGTTGTTCTTTCTCTGCTCTATTTCTGACTTGGATATAAGTAATAGCCAGGTACTGGTGGCTCACATCTGTAACTGAAACTACTCAGGAGGCTGAGATATGAGGATTGCAGCTTAGGCAGGAAAGTCCATGAGATTCTTATCCTCAATTAGTCACAATAAAAGCCAGAAATGGTATTGTGGCTCAAGTGGCAGAGTGTTAACTTGAGCAAAAGGAGCCCAGGGACAGCTCCAGGCTCAGAGTTCAAGTCCTGGGATGGGGGGCAGGGGGAAAAGGTGATACCAAAAAAGGACTTAGACTTTAAAATGTTGAATTTGGGGAACTAATGAGAACAATCAAGTAATATTCAATACATCCTTAAGTGAGGGCTAAGCTCAGGTTATAAATATGAGGACTCATTAACTTATTGATGGCAAATATGGGTAAAGCCATGACTACATGGATCATCTGAGTAACAAGAGGAGGATAAGAATAAAGAGGTGAGGAACATTTAAGAAATAGAGTAGAACCACAATGGAGACAGAATGAACTGGCCAGAGAGAAACAAAAGCAACACAAAGTTAAACCAAGGTTCCTGAAGAACAATGGCATGGTTGCAGTCTAACAATGCTGGAGTCGGGCTGGTAAGGTGGCTCAGTGGTAGAGTGCTTGCCTTGCATGCCTGAGGCCCTGGGTTCCATTCCTCAGCACCACATAAGCAGGAGAAAAAAAAAAAAAAAAGCCAGAAGTGGTGCTATGGCTCAAGTGGCAGCGTGCTGGCCTTGAGCTAAAGAGCTGAGGGACAGCGCCCAGACCCAGAGTTCAGGCCCCACGACCGACCTCCCCCCACCAAAAAAACAAACAATGCTGGAGTCAAGTAAAAAAAGGACACAGACATAGCCCACTGAACTTAACTAGTAAGACTGTTAACACCCTTAGTAAGAACAATTATCAGTAGAATAGCAGGAACAGAAGCCAGACTAGCTGGTAAGTATTTAGGTGGTGAGCTGAATGTGACAGGGCAAAAATAAAATGTATTTTAGCCGGGCTCCTGTGGCTCACGCCTGTAATCCTAGCTACTCAGAATTCATGGTTCAAAGCCATTCCAGGCAAGAAAGTCTGTGAGCCTCTTATCACCAATAAACCGCTCAGAAAACTGGAAGTGGCGCTGTGGCTCAAGTGGTAAAGTACTGGCCTTGAGGTGAAGAGCTCAGGGACAGCACCCAGGCCCAGAGTTCAAGCCCCATCACCACCACCAACAACAAAAAAAAAGCGTTTTATTTTTGTCTAAAATGCATACCCAAATTTCTGAAAGGTAGCACATAAGGAACTAAGACACTACTGGTAATAAAATTTTAAAATCTACCATGTTGACACAACACTGTAGAAACTACAAAAACTTCCTTAACCTGATAACCTATACATTAGAAACAATATATTCAATGATATTCAATGATAAGATATGAAAAAGCATTACCTTGGCCAGGTGCATGTGGCTGTGGCCTATAATCCTAGCTATTAAGGAGGCTGAGATCTGAAGAGTCTGGCTTAAGCCAAACTCTTTTAAAACTCTGTAATTAACCAGAGAAAAGCAAGAAATCAAGGTGTAACTCAAATGGTAGAGTGTCAGCCTTGAGCTGAAAAGCCAAGGGGCAAAATTCAAGCTCCTGAAATTAACCTCCAGTTACCAGAAAAAATTTAAAAACCTAAAAGTATTAAAAGAGGCATCATGGGCTGGGAAGGTGGCTCAGTGGTAGAGCGCTTGCCTTGCATGCCTGAGGCCCTGGGTTCGATTCCTCAGCACCACATAAGCAAAAAGAAAAAAGCCGGGAGTGGCGCTGTGGCTCAAGTGGTAGAGCGCTAGCCTTGAGCTGAAGAGCTGAGGGACAGTGCCCAGGCCCAGAGTTCAGGCCCCACAACCGGACCCAAAAAAAAAAAAAAAAAAGAGGCATCATTGTCTTTAAAAGTCAGGAGCAAGACAAGGCTACTACTAGGGCTGGGAAGGTAGCTCAGTGGTAGAGTGCTTGCCTTGCATGCATGAGGCCCTGGGTTCGATTCCTCAGTACCACATAAGCAAAAAGAAAAAAGCCGGAAGTGGCACTGTGGCTCAAGTGGTAGAGCACTAGCCTTGAGCTGAAGAGTTGAGGGACAACGCCCAGGCCCAGAGTTCAGGCCCCACAACCGTACCCCAAAAAAACAAAAAACAAAACAAAACAAAACTAAAAAAGACAAGGCTACTACTAGCATCAGAATCAATATAATAAAACATGAAAAATCTTAAGAAAATATAAGCACCAAACAGTTTGAGATAATATGTGACGACTAAATAGAAAGTGCTGGAGAATCTAACAATGTGTCAAATTTTTAATTAAGCTTCTGGATGTAAGATGAATTTCTAAAATAACTGCCCTAAATACACCAGCCTCACCTGAAGAAATTAAAAGCCACCATTATAAATAGATATCACTTATAAAGGGGACAAAAACAATAGGCCAGGAGTAAATCTTACAAGATATGTAAAATCATTTAGAGAATATTATCAGACAGGAAGTCATGCTGTGGCTCAAAGTGGTAAGAGTGCTAGCCTTCAGTGCTTAGGTCCTGACCAGGACAAGCACAAAACAAACAAACAAAAACACTAAAAAAACTTTAAAAAAAAGAATAATATCAGACCTCAAGAAATAGACATTGCTTATGGAAAGAAAACTCATTCCTCCCCCAAATTTCCTAATAATCTCAGTGTAATTCTAATTCCAATAATGCTTTTCTTGGTACCTGACAAACTAAAAATAAATTTAAAAGAAAAAGCTCAAGAACAGGTAGACTGAGGTAAATCACACTCATTATTACATAGGCATAGTAATATGGACAATGTGGTACTAACTGAGACAAAGATAAAATTAAAGTACAAAATATAAAACCTAGGACTCCTCTTTGGGGCTTTTCTGTTTGGAGACTCCTTACTTTCTTTTCACAAATCCTAGATTGCTGTATCTCTTAGCAGAAAGCAGCAAGAGAAGTCTGTTGCTCCTATTTCCTAATTGCAGTTAGGGTTTCCATCCCAGAAGAGGGAATGAGGTAAAGAGAGCTAACTGCTAGGTAGATGGGGATTAAAAAGTGGATTGTGCCTAAGAGTTCCTGCTCAAACACTTCTTTCCTATAATGGCCTGGGTGTCCACTCAACCAGTGTAGAGAGTCAAGTCAGTGCAAGTACAAGCCATCAAGTAATCACCACAAAGCCAAGAGAAGAGACCTAAGAGGAGCTCCTTAATAGAAAACTGCCCTTCCAGAAGATTCCATTGGACTCTTCTTCAGAGCCCTTCTCTTCAGTCTCCCTACTTTGCTTTAATTGCTTTAATTTCACCTTCAAATAAACTTGCTCTGTCTACTTTTTAAAAAAAATGGAAAAAGAAAAAGATGTGAGCTATTGGGTACAGTGGCTCATACTTATATTCCCACTGCCTGGAGAGGTAGGAATCAAAAGGCTTACAGTTCAAAGTAAGCCCCAGAAAAAAGATTAGGAAGCCTTCATCTCAGTCTATAAGCTGGGTGTGGTGGCTTTATTCCTGTGGTCCCAGCTCATGGGAAGCCATGGATAAAAACACATAGACAGACAGACAGACACACGGCTTATACTCAAGAGTCTGGGTGTTGGGCTGGGAAGGTGACTCAGTGGTAGAATGCTTGCCTTGCATGCATGAGGCCCTGGGTTCAATTCCTCAGCACCACATAAGCAGAAAAAAGCCAGAAGTGGTACTGTGGCTCAAGTGGTAGCCTTGAACTGAAGAGCTGAGGGACGGTACCCAGGCCCAGAGTTCAGGTCCTACGACTGACCAAAAAAAAAAAGAGTATGGGTGCTGTCTTGGGGCTGTTCAAGGCTAGCACTCTACCACTTAAGCCACAAGCTCCTCTTCTGGCTTTTTTGGTAGTTAATTGGAGATAAGAGTCTCACAAACTTTCCCACCCAGGCTAGATCCTAAGATTTCAGCCTCCTATTGAATAGTTAGGATTACACAGGTACCTGGTAATACCTATTTCTATTTTGGATGAGGGCTCAGATTATTATGAATAAAGTCATATGTAGACAACTCAAGAAGCAGCATTAAGCTGGACATGGCAATACACACCTAAAACCTAACACTACTAGGGAGGCAGAGGTAGGAAGATCACAAAGTTGAGGCCAACCTGGGCTACATATAGAGAAAGAAAGTAACACATAGGGCAATGATATATAAAGATCATTGTTTTTCTTTACCTCTTCCATCTTAAGACTAAGGGACATTAGTAGACAAAGGGAAACAGAAGGAAGCAGAGACCAAATAACTATAGCCAATAAAAGCTTCTATATAGCCAATAAAAGCTTCTATTTTAATTACATTCTTTATTCACTAGAGTATAGGTTAATATAACTGTATCTTAAGAAAGGTAGAGATCGCTGGGTGCCAGTGGTTCATGCCTGTAATCCTAGCTTCTCAGGAGGCTGAGATCTGTGGATCATGGTTCAAAGCCAGCCTGGGCAGAAAAGTCCATGAGTCTCTAATATCCAATTAACCACCAGAAAACCAGAAGTGGTGCTGTGTCTCAAGTGTTAGAGTGCTCACCTTGAGCTGAAGAGCTCAGGGACAGCACCCAGGTGCCAAGTTCAAGCCCCACAACCAACGAGAGAGAGAGAGAGAGAGAGAGAGAGAGAGAGAGAGAGATGCTGGAAAAAAGACATGGAGGCAGCTTAGTCTTTTCTTCAGTAATATAAGAACATGAGTGAGACACATCTTGGAAACCCTTGTATGAAACATGCTGAATCTCATTTGGCTGTTTAAATTCCATGTATTACAGAAGTATTATTTACTATTACTGTCTTAACTACCATTACTCCAGAGACTATCAATCACCATAAGTAGTAAATGATATGCCTGAGCCTTACCTGAAGAACCTGGTCAACAGAGGCAACTGGATGCAACATGATGAGTAATATGAAGACATACAAAATAATCACAGATACAACAAAAAAATCTGGAAAACAAAGTGAAAATCAAATTAGGAAATTTCTTCAAGGGGACTCACTGGGTACCGTGGCTCAGGCCTAATACTAGATACTCAGGAAGCTAACATATGATTATATAGAGGTTCAGGGCCAGACAGACTAAACCAGGAGATTCTATGCTCAATTAGTCAGCAAAAAGCCCAACTGGAAGCATGACTCAAGTGATATAGCTCATGTCATGAACAAAAAGCCAAGCAAGAGGCACTGATTTTAAGCCTCAGTACTAGCACAAAATACATAAAAAGGGATCCAGTAACAAGGGTATACTGTCATTCCTAAATTTGGTTTGAATATTTTTTATTTAAGTTGATGAAATAAAGTATATACTATTATTTCCTACAAGGAAGATATCTAAAGCCCATTAGCTTTAACTTTAATAGTATTTGAGAAAGTAATCAGTACTTTCAAATAAAATATATATCATTGTAGACATTTATTTTTATGCCCTCCAAATAGGTAGCTACAATATTGTTAATATCAATATATAACTTTACAAATATGAGAATAGACTACATATGGCAAAATGAGATTATCATGTAAAACATGCTATCACGTAAAACAAAACGTGTCAGCTATTATTGATTGTAAAAATACTGAACATTTATTTTCAGGACTAGGTATTTGCTGTTTGTAAATGTGGAATAACCTTACAGCTAATTATGGAAGCTGGCAACAGTGAAAACATCTGACAGTAGCTCTCTACCACTTTCCTAACTCAAAAACAAAAACTCCTTCTTGGGGCTGGAAAGGTGGCCCAGTGTTAGAGTGCTTGTCTTGCATGCATGAGGTTCTGGCTTTGATTCCTCAGAACCACATAAACAGAAAAGGCCAGAAGTGGCGCTGTGACCTTGAGCTTAAGAGCTGAGGAAGAGCATCCAGGCCTAGAGTTCAAGCCCCACGACAAAAAGAAAAAGAAAGAAAAAGGAAAAAAAAAATCCATGCCGGGCACTGGTGGCTCACGCCTATAATCCTAGCTACTCAGGAGGCTGAGATTTGAGGATCTCAGTTCAAAGCCAGCCCAGGCAGGAGAGATCATGAGACTCCTATCTCCAATAAACCACCAGAAAACCAGAAGTGGCGCTGTGGCTCAAGTGGTAGAGCGCTCGCCTTGAGCTGAAGAGCTGAGGGAACA